CCCACTATCCCTACTCTGTTGAGGGTTTTTATCAAAATGGATTTTGTCTAATGTAATGCTGTATTGTATGCAATATAATGCTGTCCAATATAATGTCCAATGCTGTATTTTGTCAAATGCAAAAGCTGATATCTCAAAGGCTAATAGGGTAGCTGGGGATTTGTACTTTCATATTCTATTTCATTTTTCAAATTGTGTGCAATAAGTGAGAATATATTAAGAAATTCATACAATATGGATAAGAGTATTCCCCAGAAGTAGCCTCCCGCTTTTCATTTTGGTGTATACTGCCCATACTTTTACTGTGTGCATTGAAATACATATAGAAACAAAAATTTAAAAATACAACATATGATCTAGTACATATAATTCAACAATTTGAATTTTTCACTTACTATTTTTCTATTTACTATTTACTATTCACTTACTATTTTATGCCACCACCTCCTTCTCTTCTTCTGTTGCATGATGTTCCCAAAATTAGATATACTATAGTTTAACTACATGCAGATTGTTTCAATTTCTTATAGGCAAAACTGTAGTGGATCGGGTGCCTGGGTGGCTCAGTTGGTTAAGCGACTGCCTTCAGCTCAGGTCATGATCCTGGAGTCCCTGGATCGAGTCCCACATCAGGCTCCCTGCTCGGCAGGGAGTCTGCTTCTCCCTCTGACCCTCCCCCCTCTCATGTGTTCTCTCTCATTCTCTCTCTCAAATAAATAAATAAAATCTTTAAAAAAAAAACCAAAACTGTAGTGGATCTTCATATACATATTTGTTAGTGCATACATACAAGTATTTCTAGAAAGCGGGTACCAAGAAGGGAAACTGCTAGCTCAAAGGCTGTGCATGTTGTACATTTCAGTAAGTACTAACAAATTACCCTCAAAAAAACGTTTTTCTAATTTATGCTATCATTAATAGCACATGAGTTCTCCACACCCTTGCCTACACTTGATATTATAAATGCTTAAAATTTTTGCCAATTTTATAAGGGAAAAGTATATATCTTATTTTAGTTTGCACTTCCTTAGTTACTGAGTTCCACCATTTTTTTAAAGTTTATTTTTGTCATTTGGATTTCCTCCTGTCTCAATTGTCCCCCTTTTCTATAAGATTTATTATCCTTTGTGATTTAAGGTGTTATTTAGATATATTTTGAATATTAGTCTTTTGCTATACAGGTTTCAAAATTTTTCTGTCAGCTCACCGTTTGTGTTTTGTCAGTTTTGAAATAGTCAAATATTTTTCTTTATGACTCTTGGGTTGTTCTTTGATGTCCCTTCCTATCCCATGTTTTCCTAGATTCTAAATATTCTTAGAGCTTATTTTGAAAATTTAGTCTTTTTTTTTTTTAAAGATTTTATTTATTTATTTGAGAGAGAGAATGAGAGAGAGAGAGCATGAGAAGGAGGAAGGTCAGAGGGAGAAGCAGACTCCCTGCGGAGCAGGGAGCCCCGATGCGGGACTCGATCCAGGGACTCCAGGATCATGACCTAAGCCGAAGGCAGTCGCTTAACCAACTGAGCCACCCAGGCGCCCCGTGAAAATTTAGTCTTTAAACTATGTGGACATTAATTTTTGTGAAGACATGGAACCTAATTTGTTTTTCTTTCTTTTTTTTTTTTAAACACTTTTTTTAAGATTTTATTATTTATTTGACAGAGAGAGACACAGAGAGAGAGGGAACACAAGCAGGGGGAGCAGCAGAGGGAGAGAAAGAAGCAGGCTCCCCGCTGAGCAGGGAGCCCAATGTGGGGCTCAATCCCAGTACCCTGGGATCGTGACCTGAGCCAAAGACAGACGGTTAACCGGTTAACCGACTGAGCCACCCAGGCGCCCCCTAATTTGTTTTTCAAACGAATAACTAGTTGTCCAAACACTGTTTATTTAACCTTTCTCCACTGACTTGAAATGCCATCTTCCTCATATGCAAAATTCCCATATATACATAAGACTGTTTCTGTATTATCTTTTCTGTTTCATTATCTATGCTTATCTCAAGGTCATACATTTAGTCTATGGTTTTATGATATGCTTTGATATAGGGCAAGTTCCACCTTCCCCGTTATTTCATTTATAATAAAAAAGGTTTAAAAAAACTCTGTTCTTTGGGCGCCTGGGTGGCTCAGTCGGTTAAGCGACTGCCGTCGGCTCAGGTCATGATCCCAGGGTCCTGGGATCAAGTCCCACATCGGGCTCCCTGCTCCGCGGGGAGCCTGCTTCTCCCTCTCCCCCTCCCCCTGCTTGTGTTCCCTCTCTTGCTGTGTCTCTCTCTGTCAAATAAATAAATAAAATCTTAAAAAAACAAAACAAAACAAAACTCTGTTCTTCATTGTTTAACTGCCTGACTTTCCCTTCTTCCTTGAGTTCCACATGACAGGGAGGTAAAATTAAAAATATCCATAGGCATGGGAAAAGAGAGAAAGGAGACAAAAAAAGAAATGTTCTCAAGATGGTATTTTTTCCCCTATACTTCAAGAAGCTACCCTATGAATTATGCCACATACAAAATAAGGTAGATTTTGTATGTTCAGCCACTGTCTAAATCAAAGCTGTTTCTGGTTTCATTACTAGCCAGTCACCAATGGCAGGGACCATGTATACGTAAAATGTGAATTGATGGGAAATAGAAACATGACTCAGTTTGAGAAAATGAACAAGGACTAAAGTGAACAAAGAACATGGTGAGAACCAATAAAATACTTATTCTTATGGATCCACCCGTCAGGAACTAAAATCTCTTAAGCTTAGTGTGTCTACGGTATCTTGAGTTTTTTCTGCTGCTTCTATTTATGCCACTTGATGTTTTATATGGATTATAGGGGGATCAATTCTTTATTTGATAACTGAAATGACAAAAGAAAGGAAAAGTATTATTAGGGATATTATAGTAATGAGTAACAGAAAATATCATGTTAATTGGAAGTTGGTAAGCATTAAAAAGGGAACTTGGCAAATAAACAGTTTGACCTTTAAATCCAACCATTGTACACAATATGGTTATATTCAATATAAAGTTGTACCTGTTTTCATAGTGAAGCTAATGTTACACCGGTAGGAAAAGCTGTCAGGTGGGCAAGAGTGGCTTTACCCCAACAGTTAATTATTTACAATGAACTTAATTGTTTGTTGCGCGGGGGGGGGGGGGGAGCATGTTGATAAGGCACGATTGTCAAGGGCCTTGGCAGTGTGTACTCTAGTTGCCCTCACTGAATTCGTATTTTACTTTATTATTATTATTTTTTAAAGAGTTTATTTATTTATTTGACAGAGAGACACAGCGAGAGAGAGGGAACACAAGCAGGGGGAGTCTGAGAGGGGAAGCAGGCTTCCCGCTGAGCAAGGAGCCCGATGCAGGACTCGATCCCAGGACCCTGGATCATGACCTGAGCCGAAGGCAGTCGCCCAACAACTGAGCCACCCAGGCGTCCCTGAATTCATATTTTAAAGTGCTCATAATCTGTTAGCTCCATGAAACCTAACAACCTTTGTTTTTAAAACCAACTTTTTTGTAAACCTAAAAGTGTAGCTTTTGAGGAAAAATTGAAAACAGTGTAACTATTTTACGTATCATATAAATTATATAGCAAATTTTCTCTAGGTGGAGTTCATCCCGATAAGTTGTGGGCATTTTCTAGGAAACTGGTGCTAACGAATCTTCTGTCAAGTTGCTTCCAAACTACTCAAACTCTTAGTGGGGCGCTCGGTTAGGAAGTGTGCTTCTGAGTTCGTTCTATAGCGGGCGCTGAGGAGAGGCAGGAGCCTACGGACGCTCTGATGCGGTTGCATACGTTTAAGATCTTCCCGCTCTTACCCGGTGGGCTAAGACTTCTAACTGCCATCTGACTGGTCTGGCTTCCCACTCTGTCTGGTGCCCCCTGGTGCTCATCACCTGTACAATCTTGAGTAGTTGCGAGGAGCGAAGGGGTTCGGAGAGCCTAAGGATGCTTTCAAGGAGAGCATTCCATTACTGTGAACTACATGGATCTAGATTTCCTCTAAGTCCAAAGCCACAGTATAAATTACATGTGTACATTCATGTACCTCTAGAGAAAGGGGATGTTGTTTTACTAAGCCCTCAGGCAAATGAAAGATGGAAATTAAGCTCAATCGACTACATAGCAAAAGTCAACTCGGCTCTCTCTTTGTGGTAAAAGACGCAAAGATACGTGGACCTTCTCTATTCTCGAATCCTCGCTCACCGCACCCTTAATTTTTTTCTGGCATAGCAAAGGATTCAATATGCTCCTGGATTTCAGGAAGGCAGCCCATCTTTGAGAGCCAGACTATCTATCGTGGGGCTCGAGCTGAGAGTGTGGCCTTAATTGTTATGGAAGGGAAGAGGAGAGGAGGTAACACTCCCTGTCTCCTTCTGCAACCCATTTCATCACTATTGATCCCATGCACAATTTTCACAAAATTTCTTTTACCCTAGGGAAGGAGTTTTCAGCCCCTCTGGCTCTCTGAGCTCAGGTTCTGGTTCTCTTTGCTTGCTTTCCTCCTCCACTCCCACACCCCTACACTCAACACTACTGCGGCTCTCTCCATTAAAGATGAACAACAGATCATCTTTCATTGAATGGCAACCTCTTAGCGCTCTCTCGCCTCAGCAGTGCATGACGGGAGTCTCTCCTCTCGTCCTGCCTCCCTCTTCTTTTTTTTCTTCCGGGCCTTTTTCCACAATTAAACGCTAAATAATGATTTTCCTAGCTAGCGTTGACTTAAGGATGGGGTTTAGCGACCCACGGTGACGCTCCCATCAGCCTTCCAGAAGGGGCGGTTTCCAAAGAAAACTACAACTCCCATGAAGCATCAGGCTAAAGCAACCACAGAGCATCACGGAAGTCGTAGGCTCCCTCCTCCCCAATCCCTTTCATGCTTCACAGGCAAGAACTACAAATCCCAGGGAGCCTCGGTACTAGCACGCCTGCGCGAGAGCCCCGAGAGCCGGTGGGGGTGGGGCGCCCCGGGCGGCGGGGGGCGGGGTCCGAGCGGGCTGTGTGGAGGCTTCAGACTCCCGGCGCCATTTAGCGCGGAGAGTTTCCCCGGCGGACGCGGCTCTCCACGCTCGGCCACTCTGCACCCCCATCTTCGGTGACAGAAGGAGCCTGGTGGGGGTGACTACTCTTTCCTCTCCCTAACCCCCTTCACCCAGTCCTCTCGGTCTCCTCTACTCTCGGCCCAGAGAAGCCGCGGAGCTCGGGCCCCGCGGTGAGCGGCCCTCCCCTCCCCACCGTTCCCTCCCTCTGTCAGCCCCCGGCACCGGCCCGGGAGGAGACGGGGGTTTGCCAGGCCCGGGGCGGGCGGGGAGGCCTCGGGGAAGGGGGGGCCCGCTCCTCAGGCACCGAGGCTTCGAGACTTCGGCTCTTCCCGTCCGGGCGATGGGCGCCCTGTGAGACTGGTCCCCCTAGCTGGGGGCGCGTGTGGGAGGAGGCGACCGACTGACTGACCGGGAGCCCCCGGGCCGGCCCTCCCTCGCCGTCCTCGGCCCCTCCCACCCTCTTCGGCTCTGGGATTGCCACCGCTCGGGAGTCCGTGCTCGTCCGTTCCTCGCTTTGCCGCCGCCCCCGGGGCCTAGCCCGCCCAGCTCGGGAAGCGGCGGCGGCGGCGGGGAGCTGGAGCCGCCGCCGCATCCACCGCATCCGCTTCGACTCGGTGCCGGCTCCTTGCCCTGCCCCTCATGACTGCGGCGCCTCTGCTGCTCCAGCCTTCCCGGCCTCCGCTCGCTGCAGGATGGATGCGGACCGTGAGGCGCTAACCCCCGTGGCTCAGCTCCTCGACCGCCCGCCGACGAGCCCCCTCGTGAGCCGCAGCAGCCGCCGCAACTGGGCCCAGTGGTCCGCGTCTCCTTCGGGGCGGCTTGTCAGTGCTGAGTGAGGAGCCGTCCGGGTGCATCCGAACCCGCCGGGAGCGGGAGCCCTAGTAGCGGGACCCGCACACCTCCGCCGCTCTTCGGGCTCGGCCCCTCGCCCTCTCTTCATTCACAAGTTCGAGCCCGCTCGCCTCGCTTCTGCGGACCGACCATGTCAGGCGGCGCCGCAGAGAAGCAGAGCAGCACTCCGAGCTCCCTGTTCCTCTCGCCGCCGGCGCCTTCCCCCAAGAATGGCTCCAGCTCCGATTCCTCGGTGGGGGAGAAACTGGGCAGCGCGGCGCCCGACGCTGGGACCGGCTGGACAGAGGAGTACCGGCGTCGCCGCCACACTATGGACAAGGACAGCCGTGGCGCGGCCGCGACCACGACCACCACCGAGCACCGCTTCTTCCGCCGCAGCGTCATCTGCGACTCCAACGCCACTGCGCTGGAACTGCCCGGCCTTTCCCTTTCTCTGCCCCAGCCCACGGTCTCCGCGGTCGCGCCGCAGAGTACTCCGCCGGAGCCGCACCGCGAGGAGACCTTGACCGCCACCGCCGCTGCCCAGGTAGCCCAGCTACCTCCCGCCTCTGCCGCCCCTGGGGAGCCAGCCGGCGCGGGCCCTGCCGCCGCGACTGCCCCCAGCAGTACCAGCAGAGATCGCCAAGTGTCCCAGCCCAACCATGTGGGGAGCAAAGAGGAGCCTCCGTCGGCCAGAAGCGGCAGCGGCGGCGGCACCGCCAAGGAGCTACAGGAGGAACGGAGCCAGCAACAGGATGATATCGAAGAGCTGGAGACCAAGGCCGTGGGAATGTCCAATGATGGCCGCTTTCTCAAGTTTGACATCGAAATTGGCAGAGGCTCCTTTAAGACCGTCTACAAAGGCCTGGACACTGAAACTACAGTGGAGGTCGCCTGGTGTGAACTGCAGGTATAGCCCCACTTCTTTATTTTACGGTGGTTTGGATCTACATTTGGCTCGGTGAAGCCAGTTTATCGAATTCCTCCTTTACAAGTCATTCTCTTAACTGTTCGCTCTGGCGGGGGGGGGGGAGTGGGAGGCCAACTTTTGAAAGAGATTGAAACTAGAACTTGGGGCATGACCTAGGTAGGATAAGAATTATTGGTAGCCAAAGAGGTTTGCTACTGGGGGGGAGTGGTGAAAATCATCTTAGTACAAACGCATTACCTGCTTGTTACTGTTTTAGTGTCTGGCAAGAAACTCGGAGTTAGTGGGAAAGTTTCTGAGTTAGGAAAGTACAGAGTCTTCTTGCCTTGTGCATTTCAATCTCAGCAGAGGCTCTGCATTGTTGAGCTGCTGGTGTGTTACATGCGAGTTTCCATCCCCGAGATCAAGCTGTACTTTTAAAATAAGAACGACCTTGTTCCTGAATGACCTTACTTGGGATATATCTTAGTTGGTGATTGCACAGGCATTTAATATAAACTACAAAAAAGACTTTCTTCTCTGGATAAATGACTTCGGACTAGAAAGGTTCAATAAGTGTTTGGTATTGTCCCACTTGATGATGCTTAAGGCTTTTGGTAGCTAGAAGTTACCTGACAGGGTAAATTAAAACTAGTAAGGCTTCACCCCATTCACTATACAGTGACTAGTACAAGAGCCCATGTAAAACTGTGTGCTTTGAGATTTGTAATGTCACTATGGTTATTTTAAACTTGTTATGAAAGGTTTTTAAGCCAGACTTTTCCAAGAGTCCAAAGGACTCAAAGTGCTTTGCTTTTAACCTCTCAGGGAGGTTTTCATGGTGTAAATAATGGTGTGTCATTCTGGTTGACAAGTATATTCTACTTTTAAATAGCTAGTTTTGGGCAACTTGTTGCTTGACCTATAGCAGCTTCATTGAACGTTGCTCGCATCCGGAAGTGAACGGAGGTTGTTGGAAGAAGCAGAGTTCCACTGAATGAAAAAGTCAGTTACAGTATACAGGAAAAATGCCATTGTCTGTATTCTTCTTGTCAAGAAAATGGACTGAATGGATCAAAATAGGATATGAAAGTAACTGAATAGTCTAGGAGTTTATTTTATCCATGAATGAATATGTTAGCACTTAACCCTTTGAATGTCACCTTCCAAATGACCAAGGCCATATCAAATGTGAAGGGAAGTTAACTCAACATGTGGAAGGAAGTGAACTTAAAAACTGACAAGTTCTTTAGGAACGTAATAATTTCTTAAGTTTTACAGTAAATGATGTAGAACTTCTAAGGCATTGTGAAATAAAAGCTCAATTTTATGGTGGTTTATATTGAAAAGGGTGCAGACCTTTTTGAAAAAATCTTGTCAAACTATAATTTATTCTTATTGGTAAGTCATACTCAAAAACTTAGGTCTGATTCCTTTTGGTTTACAGGCAAAAATTCTGTTTACACAGGGACACTTTTTTTTTTTTCTGCTTTTGTACCAGGGGTGCCTATTGCTACTGATCCTGGATTTTATTCTTTTGTTAAGGTTTTACACTTGAATAGGTGCTCTATAGATATATTTTTTTAGTTGGTTACCTTACTTTCTTAAGACTGGACCCAAGTAAATGTTGAGCAGTTTATGGATTAATTTTGTTAGTTTCAATTTGAATTTAACTTTGAGGACTTACAGAGTGTAATGTGTGTATTTTCCTTAATCACCCGGAATTTTTTTTTTTTTTAATTTTACTTATTTGAGCAAGCATGAGTGGAGGGGGAGGGGCAGAGGGAGAGGGACAAGCAGACACTCCCCCCACCCCCCACCCCACCCCCCAGCAGGGAGCCTGTTGCGCAGTTGGATCCCAGGACTCTGGGATCATGACCTGAACCATCCAGGCACCCCTCACCTGGCATTTTTTGATAGTTTATTTATCTTGGAACTAATGACACAGTGGGAAAAATCAATTTGTCTAATGTCATAATAATTTTGTCTAAGCTCAGTTTTTCTTTGAACTCATTGCTTTTTGGATTTTTGTTCTCTGTCTAGACATGGGCATGGTCAAATTAAAGAATATCGGATGCTTTATATATAATATCACCATATTATTTTAAAGCCAGTTGAGGATTTGGCTGCAGAACCAAATAAATCCTAGCTCATTGAGTGGTACCCTGGTTTAGAAACTTTCATATGTCATTTGGCCCTGTTTATACAGTTTTTCGTTTTGTTTTTTAAAATGTGATTTTCCCAGCCCCAGGATCCTTTATAGCAGTAGTTGGGTAGTATTTTTGGTTTCTTGACCGGGACATTTTCCTAATAACCTATTCATTAGGTGAGTGTTTGAGTTCTTATCTTTGGATACAAATTAAAGGACAAGTCAAGGGATTATTAGCGCATTGGAAAGAAAGCAAAGCTTTTTCATGAAAGTATACTTCTAACATACATATTTTTCGTAGGAAGATAGGAGAAATACTGTATTCGGTTGTTGAGTTAAAAATCTTAGTGTATTAAAATTGGAAGAAATCTTATGTTATTCTGCCCAACTACTTACTTAATAAAGAACCTAAAATCATGGAGCAGGTAAATGACTTGCTTAGATTGGTAAAGAACAAATTTTAAACTGGTTAGGATCGGGGCACCTGGGTGGCTCAGTGGGTTGGATGTCTGCCTTCAGCTTAGGTCATGATCTCGGGGTCCTGGGATTGAGACCCTCTTTGGGCTCTCTGCTCAGCGGGGAGTCTGCTTCTCTCTCCCTCAGTGCTCTCTCTCTTTCTCAAATGAATAAATAGAATCTTAAAAAAAAAAACTGGTTAGGATCTAATGATTTGGGAAATGTTAAAACATTTCTAGTCTAGTAAATGGCTAATTAGTACATCTCAAATGAGGCAATTGTATTTTGGTGTGGAAGTCACTATCAGATTTCTTCAGAATTCTGTAATCATAGCAAATTCAATACTTTGGTTTGGGTATTGATTTTATCAATTCAAATGTATAAATAGGCTTTTTGGGTTGGAGAATGAGTGAATGTGGTATACAAATCAAATTTGTTTCCATCAAGCTAATTTTTAGAATCACAGTATGCATAGCTATCTATTAAAACAGGTATCAATTCCTAATAAATAATATTAGGTAATACTTTGATACCACAGGATCTTAAGTACTAACTTTGATCTTTTAAGATGCAGATTTCTTTACTTGATTTTATTAGGCAAATGACATGCCTTAAATTTTAATACTCAGTTTGCCTTGGTCAGAAAACGTTACTGCTGGACTTTGCAGAGTTTACATTGCTTTTCTATGGAAGGATCTTAGTTTTTTAAGAAATGTAGCATAATTTTTTAAAGAAAATGTATTTATACACAGAATGATTTTACTTACTTTAAGTACTTTTCTCCCCAAATTGCTTCTAGCATTCACTTGATAACTTGATACATTCACTTTGTATATTGATGAGATTGTTTCCAGATCAACTTGGAAGGGGAAGTCAAATTTTGTTTAAGCTCCAGTGTTCTTAGTGCTTGCTTTGCTCTGGCTTCTTCTTCTTCTTCTTCCTTTTTTTTTGTGTAAATTAAGGGTCATGTCTCATCATGAGTATATGATACTAATTTTTTTTGGACTTAATTTTCTTTTTTTAAATTGAAGTATAGTTGACACAATGTTATATTAGTTTCAGGTGTCCAGGTTTTTATTAATGTTTTATAAAAAGTTTAGCAATGCTGCAGAAATGTGATGTGGTTCTGTGATTAAGAAACCATAATTTATTTCTTTGCTTTAGTTCTTAAAATAACTCCTGAACTGAATCTTCCATTTGAATATTGATGGGTTTTTTGCCTTTATTTTTTACATTTGTGCCAAATTCCTTGTTTTTCAGGATGAGAATCTTCAGTAATTTTCAATCCCAGGAACAAGGTTTCAGGGAATGGTCTTCGGAGTTTTTTTTGTTTGTTTATTTTAAAGTCTCAGAGTCACTGATGAGTATGGGCAACATTGAGATAACTCAGGTGTCGCTGCTGTGCAAATTAAAGAATGATTGGTAACTTGTTTGAAGTAATCCTTTTTCCCTCCTAACAAGACAGAATGGGATTAAAAATAGCATAATTTTGGTTTGGTATGATTTAAAATATATGTAAATTTATTGCTGTAGGAAGTAATCTTTGTGGTACAGGAATTGAGAATTTAAGTTAATTCAATGATTTTCTTAGCGTTAAGGATTTAAATGTTTTCCTTTTCTGTTTACCTTTTTTCTCATCTTAAGTATCTTAAGTATCACAGTTGTTCCTAGTGTAAGGTTGTTTTTGTGTAAAACAAATGAGGAATCTATTGTATGGTGATTGAGTTCATTTCTTGATATTTAGGTTTTAGTGCAAGATCCTGGTCATTTGAAAGACATTCTACTTAATCTCTATGGAAACATGCAACTAAAACTGAGCTCTCAGCTTCGGAAATTCTTCTTTTTTTTTTTTTTAAAGGGGGGGCCAAATTATATTATTACTTTAAAATTTGATTACAACCAATTTTGTTGGCATTAAAATTAGAGGTATTGTAAATTTGAATGGATAAACCTAAAACCAGAAATTAAGTTTGGTAAAAATGGGAATAAGAGTTTTTATTTGGGTTTTCTAGTAGTTTTTAAGTTTTTTAGATAAAGCTGTAAAAGTAGCAAGAGTGGTTATGCTCAAATTATAATTTCTGAAAATGTTAGTATAACATGAAAAAATTTATAAGTTACTAGGTTTTGCTGTACCAGTTCTTTGTATTTATTTTTAGCATCTTGCATTTTATTTGAGGAATTTTTTTTTTTTTTTTTTTCTTAACAGGACTACTGTAGTGTGCAGGAATAGGTGAGACTTACCATGCATGACCTAAATTTAGATTTGAAGAAGGCATTGTTTTCTGCAGTATAACATAGTCATTAAGAACATAACTGAATTCAAATCCTGACCCAGCTAAAGATGTGTCACTTTGGGCAACTTCTGTGCTAGTTTCCTATTGATAAAATGGGATGTAAT